CTGATTAATTTAAAACCCACAAGGCCTCTCCAGAAAATTGACAATGGCTCTTGGCTACAGGTTTGGATCACTTTACTATGAGTCTGGTGATTGCTTAGGAATAGCTGAAAGTGCACTCCTCACCTGCAAACATTTGTGATTGGAGAAGAAATCTCGCAGTTGTCTTCATTCCGATCTGCAATCTTTCTTATTCCTTTATTTTGTTCCTTCCTTCCTTCCTTCCCTCCTATCCACTACCTTCCTTCCTTCCTTCCTTCCTTTTTCTTTTTTTGTACTGGCATTTGAACTCAGGGCCTTGTGCTTGCTAGGCAGGCACTCTACCACTTGAGCCACACGTCCAGTACCAAGCCTGCATTTTTCAAAGAACCACAGGATATCCAATAGCCACCCAAACCCTGCCATTCTGCCTGCCTCCACATTTCTATTCTTGGAAAAATGCCCACTTTCCTAACACTGTTCCTCTCTTTGAATAGTTCCAAAGGTCCCTCAGCATCATTAGAAAATCAAATCATGGGGGCAAATTCGACATCATGGAAACAGCATAGCTATATTTAAATATTTGTAACCAAATTTACACTAGGTACTGAAGGACGAAAGCAAGAAATGCAAACCACAACCTCCACCAACAGAAAAGAAGGAAGAGTCAAGGAAGCCTTCAGAATGTCATAGCTCTAACACTTAGACTTCCAAGCACCTGAACTCCTTTGAGGGATTTAAGGACTGGCTTACAAATGATTAATTTTGTGGCAGAGACCAGAGACCTGAAAAGGGTAAGAACCTGTTAAATGAAAATAGTGTATCTTTAAGAATATAATTCTAATAAATAAGTGAATTTAATCAACAAAAGTGTTCTGCATTCTTGTTTTGTAATTTAATGTTAAATTTGAAAGAAACTCTTTTAGAGAGAAAGGCGGGTTCCTTTGAAAGTGCTTTATTTGGAAATACGAATCAGGGTTAGGGAAGAATGAATACAAGGATGAATTATTGTGTTAGCTGACCTAACCACACCCCAAAGGATGAATGGTGCTAATCTCAATCTCACAGTGCCTTATGAAATCCAGGACCACCTACCCCAAAGGAGGAAGCATTTAACCATATACTACCCATTATTCAAAGATCATGCACTTGTGAGAGCAGAACAGGTTCCCAAGGGTGACCCACATGATAATATCAGAGAAGCTCTGTGTTAGGAGACAGACATGGCAGTGTCTTTAGAAGAGACATTGTCACCTAAACCTGATAAAACTTCTTAGTTTAATTAAAAGGACACCAAAGACATGAGTCACATAAAACTATTATTGACATTTTGGGGTGCATCTGTCAAAATACAGAATGTTAACAACATACCTCATTCACTTTTTCAATTTCTGAGCTCATTCAGTACAGCATACTTTGCTGTCTTACAGCCTGTTCGAGAGAGTTGTACATTAAATAAATTATTACAAGATAAGCACTGAATTATAATTGTGATAACTGTTATGAAAGAGAAGAGAAGAATGACAAACTTACTATACATGAGAATTAAGCAAGGCTTCTCAGAGGAAGAGGCATTTAAGTTCAAGTTTGAGAAGGTAGAAAAGGCAATGGGGGAGGAAGAGAGGAAGGAAGAGGGTATTCAGACAGTACTGAAGGCAGAAAGACCATGAACAAATACCCACGTCAGAACTGAAGCTATCCTAGAGTGAAGAAAGACAGTGAGCGAGAGGAAGATGCAGGTAAAAGTTGAGGCAGACAAGCTACATCATACAGGGTTTTATCCTAAGGTCAATGGGAACCAACTAAAGAGTTTTGAATGGGGAACAAAATAATCATATTTTTTTAAAAAATCTATCTATAAATTGAGCCATAAATACAAGCAGCGGAAGCTTATAAATTTCACACAGGCATTAAACAAGACTAGAACCTATAATTACCACATAATGCACAAATATCAACAAGACTGTTGATGGGGTGGGTGCTGGGGAGGCATGTAGAATTCATCTTTTTGTTTGTTTTTTAGAACTAGATGTTTGTCTGATTTGATGCCAAGATAGCATTTGAGCAAGCTGGGATGAAATCCCCATTTAAAACTCTTCCCTTTTCCCAAAGCTTCAAAAGAAAACAACTCTTCAAGACTAACTTTATACGTGGGTGGTATTGGGACCATCTACAGGTGCTAAAAGACTCATCCTCCCAATCAGTGTAAACTTTTTCTCTGTCTTCCTCCAGTGCCCCAAATTCTGCCACCACAAAGTCTGTTGGTCTGACTTTCCAATTGCCAAATATGCTAGGAAAGAATAACCTACTGGTCTTCTCCTGCCTTTCTGGGACTGAGCTGTTAGACTGCATTTTCTCAAGGATGGGAAGACTCAAAGCTTTTTGAAACCCCTGACTGTGCAAAGGCATAGACAGCCACAAGACTAGGTAGACTACAAAGTGTAGACCTAGACTACAGACTTGATAAACTTCATTTTGTCTTGGGTTGGCTCTGGGATCAGCTGGGGTGTGTGTGTGTGTGTGTGTGTGTGTGTGTGTACTTACGTATAAAAGTATGATGATTTACGATTTGGGCTGGGGGTGTAGCTCAAGTGGTGGAGCACTTGCTTAGCAAGCATGAGACCCTGGGTTCAATCCCCAGTACCAATCAATCCATCAATAAAAAGTGTGTGAATTTCTACAGTAAATATATATGGATGTAGTCATGGTATGTGCATGACTTTGTAACATGAGAAGCAATCATGATAAGTAAGGATCACAGGTCCTGGAATTAGTCTAAACTGGGTTCATGTCACAAGCTTTGTAATCCTGGGGAAGTTATACTTACCTTATTGGGTGATTGGGAAGATTCAATAAGATAACTTATTTAAAGTTTTTTTGGCTTTTTTTTTTTTTTTTGGTACTGGAGTTTGAACTCAAGGCTTCATGCTTGCTAGGCAGGCACTCTATCACTTGAGACACTCACCAGCCCTTTTTTTGTGTTGGGTATTTTTGAAATAAGGTCTCTCAAACCATTTGTCTGGGGCTGGCTTCTAACTACAATCCTCCTGATCTCTGCCTCTTGAATAGCTAGGGTTACAGGTGTGAGTCACCAGTGTCCGGCTTGTTTAAAGTTTTAGTACTGGTCTGTGGCATACAGCAAGTGCTCTATAAATGTCACTGTTACAAATATTATGTGCATCTATGCAGACATGTGTTTGCATGTAGGTGCAGATGTGGGCATGTCCGGGAAATAGAGGTGTTTAAGAACAGGAGCGAGAGGGATGTGTCAACCCCTGCAGCAGAAGTCCTAGCATTGAGTGGCTTGTTCAGAGGGTGAGGGAACTGCCAGGCAGCTTACAGAGGAGATCCAGCTTTACTATTGTGGGGAGACAGCAAAGAGCCCAAACTACAACAAGGCATTTCCTTATGGGCACAGAACCAAGAGTGGAAATTCATTGCAGGAAACAGGAAAGCAGAATGGAATGAGATGATGTTGCAGCTCAAAAGAGAGACTTCAAAAGAGTTAAAAGTGGTCTTTAACATTGGTGCGTGCAAAAATCGAGACTCAGTACTCAGCAGACAGGAAACCTCATCTGCTCCTTTCCTTAACTTCTCCCTCCTTTTGAGCTTCATCCATGTTTGGTTTTCCAGAACAGACTTGCAAAAACTTTGACAAACATCAAACCCACCACAGTGTCTTCAGGCCTCTTGGTCCCCTGTTAAGATTTTTCCATGAAGCTGTATCTAAGTGTTTTCCACATAATAAAGAATTGTTAACCTTATGTTGCAATAGAAGATAGATATTCTTAAAAGCAATATCCAGTTTCTAGTCTCATTTCTGTCCCTAACTCACCAGGCAACTCCAGAGATTCTCTTGCTCTCTCTGAGGACAGCTGCAAGAGAGGATGATTGATCTTTTCTTACCTTATCTTTTGACTTCTTGCCATTCTAGATGAGGCTTCCCTTGGAGCAGCTCCCCTGCTTCTTAAAGCTATATCACTGTGACACAGTGGTAAGGTATAGACCATCTGCCCTCTAGCTGTGATTCCTAGGATGAGTTAGTTTCCTCTCTGCCTCAGTTTCCCCATCTGTACAGTGAAGGTGAAGAGGGTTTAATGCGTCCTCAGGTTGTGACAGGGGTAAAGTAGGTTAGTACAGGTAAGATACCCAGAACAGTGCCAGACACCAATAAGGGCGACCCTGACGTTAGGTAATATTATTATTCACTTACTCAATTGGATTCCTTTGTAATTACAGAAGATGTATTATTGATAAGTCAAAAATGGAAGTGTAGGGGACCATTTGGGAGTATGAAATGATTACTACAGCATCATAGGGGAGGAGGACTGGGACCATTGCTTTCTCTTTGTGCTTTGATTTCTCAAGAACATATGTGTGTATGCAGCACTATTTTTTTTTTTAATTTAAAGAAGTTGAGCCAAAAGATCACTGAAGGCCCTCTAAACTCTAAATTCAGGGACTCTGCTTGTGTGTGTGCGTGTGTGTGTGTGTGTGTGTGTGTGTGTGTGTTGTGGTTGTTTTGGGGTTTGTTGTTATTTGTTTGTTTTGTGGTGCTGGGATTTGAACTCAGGGCCTCTCAGCAGGTGCTCTATCACTCCAGCTATGTCCCCAGCCCCTCACTGTGGTTTTCAAGGAGCCCCCAGTGTTTTCTAGATGACTGGCTTATCCTTGTTCCTATAACTACCATTAATGTTTCACCTTCTCAGGAACTCCTTCTAAAAGTTTAAAACAAAATCACTTTGGCATGTCTATACAACCTCTTGAAAAGGAAAGAATATAGGGGAACTGGAAAATATAAACTGTAACTACTTGATCTTAGGGCTTGGCTTCGTATTTTGCCTCTGATAATCTTTTCCCAGAAATCACCTTAGTGGTGTAAAGGAAAGATGACCAGCAGAGAATGAACTCAGAGAAGTGTGACGCGCAGACAGCAGCGTGGTGGTGAAAGCGTTAACAGGGCTGGGTAAGGCGATCCTACAAATGAGTATGTCTGGAGTTGGGGAAGGAGCAGCCGGCAATTGGGGGAAAGGAGACCAGTTGGAGGGCTGAGCCCTGCTGTGTGGAGGACTGGCAGCTGAACTCCGGGGAGGTTACAGGCACAAGGTCAGTGTTCCCCTCGCACCTCCCCAGCCCGCGGCGGCGCACTATCAACTTTGGAGAGGCGAGGCGCCATCTCTCATCCCCGCGTCCCATGTCTGCTCTTCTGAGTGGGGGGCCACAGGTCCTCCCGCCAGACCTCCAGGCATCGGGCAGCGGTAGTCCCCCAAACCTTAGCACTCCTGAGAGACAGCCGACTTCTTCCCAGGAGACTTTTCTAAACTGGAGACTTGGTTTCAGACATTCAAAAGGAAAATTTCTGAAATGAAGATTATTTTCAGACCACACACACACACACACACACACACCTGTATGAGCTGCTTCCTCTTGGCTTTTACAGGTTGTGACCACAATCCAGAATTCCTATGTGCTTGGAATGAAACTGAGAACAATTGTCAAAGTAACTAAACAGGCTGCACGACTTTACCTTGGGGAGGAAGAGGTGTGTGTGTGTGTGTGTGTGTGTGTGTGTGTGTGTGTGTGTGTGAGAGAGAGAGAGAGAGAGAGAGAGAGAGAGAGAGAGAGAAAGGAAAAGAGGTAGGGATGGAAGGAAATATAAGAAAAAAGTTCCAAATACCCTGCCTGTACTTAAGGCAAAACAACTTAGGAAAGTGTTTTGAACAGGAAGTTTTCTTGCTTGTTACTAGAACAAAATAGTGGAGGAAGATATATTGTGAAGGAAATAATTCTACATCTACATGAGAGATAAATTTAGTTACTTAAACTTATCTTCAGGTGATGCATATAGCAAAGCAGAACGAAGTCACAGAAATTACATTCGGCAGGTCCTCTACCCTGGCAGGTCACACTAACTGTCAGCTGCAGGGTAAGGGCCCCTCTAGCATCTACAGGTAGAGAGAGGAGGTGGTGGCCACCTCTGCAGCCAGCTTTGTCACACAGGTCACACAGAGTCAATGACAGTCAGTCCCAGAGTAATACTCCTTCTGATCCTTGCAGCAGGCATGAGTGGAGTCTTATACCTGCTAGCACTGAATCAGAATGAGTCATTTGAAGCTCGGGTTCCGGAACAAAGCACTTGCAACTGCCTTTATGAGACACTGCCTCCATGTAGGTGGGACATACCTCCCAGAGCAGTCACATTTTTCCTCCCTTCCTCTCTCCAAAAAGGCAGGAATTCTGAAGATCTCAACACACCCTGCTCTGCCCCTCTCGGCTCAGCTTCCTCTACAATGCTCCTCCAGGTCTGGACTGGAGTTTTAAGATAAAATGGATGATTTGACTTTACTTGATCTTCTGGAGTGCCCTGTGTGCTTTGAAAAGCTCGACGTCACAGCTAAAGTCCTCCCTTGCCAGCACACCTTCTGCAAACCATGTTTACAGAGGATTTTCAAGGCCCACAAGGAGCTGAGGTGCCCCGAATGCAGGACCCTGGTGTTTTGCAGCATCGAGGCGCTGCCGGCCAACCTGCTGCTGGTGCGGCTCCTGGATGGCGTGCGCTCGGGGCACAGCTCCGGGAGACGCGGCTCCCTGCGCAGGCCGGGTGTGCTGACCGCGCAGGACTGCAGCAAAAGCAGGACCAGCCCCAGAAGTCTACAAGCCAGCTCTTTCCGGCTGGTGCCCAGTGTCAGAATCCACATGGATGGGGTAAGAAACATCTTGCTTGTTATTATCGTGTCCTCTTGGAGGTTGGATGTGTGCACACTGGGAGCCAGGGGTAGAAAGCCGCCAGCCCCTCACGGAGAAGTTTCGTGAGAGTGATCTCTTTACCGAGACGTGGCGGAATCGTGAGCCTGTCTAACCCATCTCAGAATTCTCCTCAGAACTTCTCCAGCTTCCTAGGTTCTCCTTACTTCTTGTCCAGACGTAATAGAACAAGGAAAGTCTTTTAGATGGTCGTTTTGGTCTTTCACTTTTCCTGCACTGAGGCTAAACCAATGCACGGGAAATGCCCAGAGGGTGAGAAAAACAAATCCAACAGCGAGTTGCTTTTGAGTTCTCTGAGAAGTTCCCAAATGGCAGCGATTGTTTGAATTTTACCCAAATCTGTCTTCCCATTCCTAGTCATAAAGCGCTATTATGACAATTCTCATTCATAATCTATTCGAAGCTCTCAAGATACTTGACACCCAAGATCATGGGGAGGTAATCGTGTGTAAGGGTGGACTGATTGATGGCAAAGGCTGGCGGTGAACTACAACAGATGTGTATGGGAACCCTGCAGATGTGTCTTTACGAAATGAATAAAACACACAAAAATTACACACCAGGGGCTGCAATAAAATTTAAAACAAGGGCTGGCGGAATGGCTCAAACGGTAGAGCACCTGCCTAGCAAATGTGAAGACCTGAGTTCAAACCCCACCACCACCACCACACCCAAAAAATTTTAAGACAAAAAAACCAGACCCAGTCAGGCGACACAGATTACCCAGTAATGTCTTTGTCCAGTTCAGGATAATGTGAATCTGTCTGTCCATTCCCAAAAGAGCTCCCTGAGCACTTTCTCTGACCCAGCTCGAGCCTTGCTGTGGGATGCTGTGTGGGGACACAACCCAGGAGGTGGACATGATCCCTGTGAGTCCAGCAGGATTACTTGCACTGTCACCCGTGGAGTCAGTGTTCCACAGCGGACACTGTGGCTTGGATTGTTGGCATACTTAGAAAACCAGAGCTGCATTCTTTGAAGTCTTGCCTAGAGCAAGCTTTAATACTGGCAGTGGAGTCCCAAACTCTGATCTGAAGAGAAGTGGTGGTTGGGACACCCTCCTTTCACACAGGAGAAGAGACTTGTGATGTGCATTTGGAGCAGTTGTCTGAAGTCTGCCTTCTAGGAGCTCAGCCCTCTGTGGGTTCACCGCACCTTTAATCCAGCCGTGTGGTAGGGACGTGTGTAAATATTCAAAACTGGGAGTGGGAAGAAGCTGGATGTTTCTTCACTACAGATTTTTTTTTTAATTGTTATTGTGCTTTTGTGTGAGAACACATTCCAGAAAAGGGCTAGGCACTCACTCCTCTTTGAGTCTCTCCATCAGTCCTAGTGGAACCATTCATCAGAACTCCAGGCCTGCAAAGGTAGACTGGGGAGGAGAGGGGAGAAATCCTTTCTCAAACGTGTCTTGTTTATACAGAAAATGGCTCTATCTCTGAGTTGGCAAGTGCAAACAACCTTTCCCCTTCCTCTCCCTGTAAGTCTGACTTGCCTTTCAAAAGAGTTGTCATCATTCACTATGGAAATGCTACCAGCCTGGGAAAAGGCAAGTCCCTTATCAACTTCACATACTTGTGCTCAGGTTTTCATTTCTTTTCCATGTGGCTGTGTTACTAAGAAAAACAGATCCACAGCTACCAAGTTTTTGAACCATAGATTTGCAGGGCCCCCCTGGTACTGGAGAGTGAGAGCTGGTCAGACATAAGAGAAAGCTATTAGATACTAGGTGCTCTTGGAACTCTTCTGCAGGGACTTGAAACATCAGACTAAGGTGCCAGTGATGTGTTTGTGCCCACTCTCCAAGCTGCTCTGGACCAAGGCCTGAAACACAGCCCCAAGCCTTGAAGGGCTCTTGCATTCTGTTGGGACCTGGGTTAGTAAGAATGCTGTGCACAAGAGCAGAACTGACAGGGTCTCCTTCCCCCACACCATTTCCTTCATTTCCTAAGCTGTCCTTTCCTGGAGTGCTCATCTTGTCTTTTTGCCTCCCTTCATCTCTGGATGTAAAAATGGCATCATTATGTGACCTGTTTCTTCTCCATAAAACAAAGTTAGAAGTGTGAAAGCAGCCATGCATCCGTCTCTCAGTTATGTGAACTGAGCATGGTCTAAATGGCATGCTCTGTTCTGAGAGTCAAAGGAGTGGGCAACCTCAATCAAATCCTCGTGAGTTACTTGCCCTCTCTGCCTCAGTTTATCCAACCTAGCCAACAGCAAGTTAGAATTGCTAACTCTCCCCTCCTCTAGGATAGTGTGGACATTATCTTTGCAACGCCTATCACCTTAGAAACATCTGCCAGGCAAATGTAAAGCATCATCATTAGCAGTCATTTAAACTTGCCTATAACTTTGGGTGCAGCACTTAAGTTGGCTGGGTCTCAATTGAAAATTCTGTAAAATGGGAAACTGTTGTAAAAACAGAGGGCCACTGTGAGGTTTAACTAATTAATGTTTGCAAAGCAAACAGATGAAAGACATTTGGAAGATCATTATCATAGTAAACATTACTATTGACTGTTGATTGGGCCCTGCCATGCATGAGGCATTCTATAAAACACAGAAGGAGTTATAGCCCTTGCAGGAGAGTGTGATAGGTATTGTTATCAAACTGAAGTCTACCATGAACCCAGGGCAGGATAATACTAAGTGTAAATTACCTCTCTGAGAGGGCCTCAATGACCTGTTGTCACAGGGTACCATTTTGTAAAACACCTCTTTCAGAGGACTTGCTGATAACCTAGCACTTTGAAAGTTCATTTAACTTCCTACCCATAAGCTTTTTAAGCCTAGTCTGTTCTGCTCACCTAGGCTTATCTAAAACACAAGCTCATCAAGATCTTTTTGTTGGCTCAAGGAGGCCTGATGCGTCTTGTGCCAGCCAGAATGCTAGGGTGGAACCAATAGTCACACCTCATGGTACCAACCCAAGAGAGAGAAAAATTAGCCCATTGTGCCTACACATCTAAATCCCTCCCAAGATGATTGTGTAAAAAGAAAACTTGAGAAATGGCTGCAGGTTTTTACAGCATGCAGCATCCAATTACTTCAAACCAACAGGTAAAATCGGCATGCTCTGGAGGGCCCCACATAGTGCAAATTCCAGTGGTTCCTATTCCTCCCCACAATGCTGGCAAGTCAAAGGAACTTTGCAAGCTCTCAAAAGGATCATGAGTACCTCCTGAAGAGCTGATCTCTTTTCTTCCTCACTCTATTACACTTTAATGACATCTCTGAAAAGCAGAGAAGTTGAGAATTTACAGACCTAGGCTTAAGAAATTTCAGAACTCAAATCCTGATTCTGCCCCTCAATAGTTGTGTATTTTGGGCGAGTCACTTAAACCTCAGGCCTCCAATTCTCCATCAGTAAATTGAAGATAATAGTAGTACCTACCTCAGAGGGTTGTTGTAAGAAATAAATGAGGTGACTCATGTCAATTAGCTCTTAGCACATGGACTGGCTTGTATTAAGTACTCAATAAATATTAGCTATGATTGTTATTAAAGTGACTCAACACTTTCTACTCTAAATTACACACTCTCTTTCACCCTTTTGTTAATCAAGTGCCACCGCAAGATCAGTCCTGGTACCCTGATTTCTTGCTTGTTTCATTTGCCTCCCAGTGCCCTGGGCCATAATTCAGATAGGTGATTCTTCCCAGAATGTGCTGGCCTCACAGCCCACTTCATAGGACTTTTAGTGAGCCATGAGTGGATCGTAGGAGAAAACTCCCTAACTAACTTCACTTCCCCGAATAGCCAGTTCAAAGAAAAACTGTACACAGGGCAAGAATCTGGTCTGCTTCCCCAGCATCATTAGTTCTTCATTACCTTCTCCATCTTTCCTTCCTCCTGCCTCTCATCTGTTCCCCAACATGAATATTCCCATCCTGGATCTCACAGGGCAAGACTTTCTCCTTACATTGTGAAGCATTGTGCCAATCACACGCATTCCTGTTTAACTCACCCCATATCAGCAAGAACACACCTGCCACCACCAGTACACAGACCAGGTGGCTTTGCCCTAGAAACTTTTTCAGCTGGTGTTGCAAGCAACCAAGGAGAGAAAATGAGGTCAGAAAGTACTTTAGGGAAATAGGGCTGGGTAAAAAACAGAAGGTGGCTCAGCCCCTTTCCCAGGGTCTCAGATGTTGTGTTCTGAGCTGTCATGCAGATGGTGGGGTTTTTTAATTTGCAAGGGGATTAAAATCATCCCAGGCCCCTGAAAACATCAGGCAGATGCCACCTGGGACAGCAAGGACCATATGTGGCAGGTGGAAGAAGACAGGTAGAGGCTAAGGTTGAGAAGTCAGGAGACACATGTATTCTTCCAGTTTCACTCACATTTGCAAACGTTCTTAAAAATATATACATATATGGCCCCAAATTGGCACTGCTGCCAACCTCTTTAATGCACCACATTGCTAGTTACAGTCCCCTCCCTTTTATTGCTAACTGTAAATGTTTAAAGATTTATGGTCAAACAGGCAGGGTTCGTGCTTGGATTCAACCATTTGTTAACTATGAGACCTTAGGCAAGTCACTTAACTTCTTTGATCCTCAGTTTCCATATTTGGAAGATGGAATTATGGTATGCATGTATCATAAGACTGTTGTGAGGTTAAAATGAGATAGCGACCGTAAAGAGCTTAGCCTGGTACCTACCGTAAAGAGCTTAGCCTGGTACATAAGTAGGTGCTTAGCAAATTAAATAGCAAAACAGTAACAGCAGAGGAGAAAGTTTGCTGGTCATGGAGTCTTCGCACACATACCTAGAAACTCAGAGGTCTCCATTAGAAAATTTAACAAAGGGAATTTAGTGAATTGTTAAAAGGAAAGGGAGTTCTGGCAAAGACAAAGCAATAGTAGTGGAAAACGCATCAGTAGTTGCCAAGGGTTCTGTGTTGGTGGAGAAACGATGATCCAGAGACAGTAGGAGG